GTGCATTTTACGACCTTTGATATAGCATTATTTAAATCGTTAGGCACGATTATTTTGTTCGCTTTCTTAAGATGTTAATGGAAAGGTTGATGCATGTAATTTCTAATGAAATTTTAAAGGCATATCAAACAGTGTCAGTGACTGCAAAATACAGATGAATTCTGGCAATTTCCTGCATGTTAAAGTAGAAGAAACTTTGCAAGGAGATTAGTTTTATTCGATTCCAAAGCAAATTTGAAACTACGAAGCTTAGTGTTAAATACTAGTAACAATAGTAATTTATATATTATACATATAATGCTGATATGACTTATGAAGTTTCTAATCAAGATATGTGGGTTTTTTTTCTCTCTCTTCTTATTTGACAACAAAGTCCTTTTTTAGAATTAGTAAAAAAAATAAAGTTTAAACATGACCCTTTAAAGTAAACATGTCATTTATCTGATACGCGAGCCGATTATATATCTGTGACTTTATGTCAGTATTAAAGTTATTGACCTGATTTAGATCATAGGTAGGCGTGCTATATGTAATCTTGTTGACTTTGTCTTGGTCTGATCAAACATTAGTATATATAATATTGTAAAAATATTCTTCCATATGCCAGTCATACTAATTCGCTAATATGTAGAATTAGGCCAGCCTTTTTTTGTACTTGTTTCATGTCCCTGGAAGAAAATGATGGAGGTGTATTAATAAAAATGTATAAATTTTAAAGGTAATAGACATGTACATGTCAAAAATTCCCAATTACATTTGTGTATATTAAATTTTCAAGTGAAAATTCGTTCTTAATATTTGAACAATTTAAACATAAAAAGGAGTACAAATATTTGTTTTAAGCAATACAAAATCAAAATCAAATCATTTGAATGAAGTAAGTTTGTTTAAGACTGTTTCATGCGAGCCCGCTAAAATGTTGAATTAATAGGCCGAAAAAAAAATCAAAATAATCGTTAATGCACCACTGGCCGTGTTCTTCCGATCAAAGTGCCTTTAATTAATTATGACGTACTTCCTTGTAGGTGCATGAAGATGATTTTTACTTATCGGGTGAAATTATTAATTATATACTTGGCTTTGTCCTTATATAATTACAACCAGTGCTAGATGCATACATAAATAGTAAAAATGGTTATAGATATTATATATTTTATATAGACGTTGTATTGATTTTAGTCTTTTGGTCCGCTTTCATTCAGAAAACTTGTCTCTTTTATAAACGAAATTGAAATTTAAAAACAGCTCATTATACAAAACTTACAAAATGACGTTTAAAATGTCAATCTATAGATGCGCATGTGGACATCTATATTTGACATATTTTCAAATTGTTTACCATTAAAGCGTTATAACTTTCGCTAAATGGATTGCACGACAAATTAAATTCAGTTCTCTTTGATACAGTGTTAATATACTGTTTACATAGTTGTAGTTAAAGGTCCAACCATAATTTTGATTATATAGACTTATTCTTAATCTCTTTTTCCTAAATACTTGAATATTGGACGAAATGTTTTTTTTTTCTATAAGCCAATTGCTTTTACAAACGCCATGCATGACCCATCCGCATAGTGCTTATAAATTATCAAAGCGGAACCTTCGTATTGTGTTTCTTAGCATAAAATGAAACACCATTACACATATTATGCAACAATTGATATGCCCATGGAAAAACACTTCACATTCTTTCCATTGACCATATGTAATGTTGAATCGTTATTGACATATATGTATTAATATGCTAAGCTACACATCAATTGCATGCTATAGATTCCATGGCCACTATTTCAATTTAAACACATGAACTAAAAAGTAAATTTTGTAGGCCTACCAAATTTGTTTATATTTATAATACGAATCAACATTACAGTAATGAGCCGCGCCATGACAAAACCAACGTAATGCATTTGCGACCAGGATCAATTCAGATCAGCATGCTCATCCGCGCAGTCTTATCAGGACTATCAGTTTCTCTACTTGTTATAGGGTTTGTAAGCGAAAAGAGTGGATCCTGATCAGACTGCGCGGATGCGCATTATGTGGGTTTTGTCATGGCGCTGCTCATTGTTTCTATAGAAATTTACATGCCAATAAAGATTCCGAATCAATTCAAGAAATACCACAAGAATAAAGTACTGCAATGATTTCAGCTGATAGGACATTGAATATTGTAATAGAAGCCGTAATGTTATTAAATATTTGTCAAACGTTTAAACATGTCTCCCTGATAGTCATATAAAGATGTTCATGGCAGATAAAAAGAAAAAAACTATTTCACTGTATAAAGGTTTAATATCTATTTGACCTCCTTATTGTTTTTGATAAAGGATATTCAATTATATCACGGTTAGGACACTGTGCGGTAAAATATAAGCTTTCGTTAAATAAACCTTGCGTAAAATGATTTTTATCACAGCAATTTCAAATATGCTGAATCAAATATATAATTGATAAAATGCAGCATCTTCAAGTTTACAAACTACGTTCAGTTCATATAACCCGTTCCACACCAATACTTGTAAGCGACTTAAATTGGAATTCTTCAATTGAATACATTACGACTTTCACTTGATTGATTATAATAATGCAAATGATATTGCTCTTTTTTTGTGTGATTTTATATTGACAAACATGTAAAAAGAATATAAATATGTTTGATATATATACGAAGAATTTATTTAGTGAATATTCAAGTTATTTTAAGAGTCTATTTCTATACTTTGACACATATTCTTTATTTCATAATATACAACCGTTCTAAAGCAACATCCTTTGGGAGACCAATTTCGGTTGTTGGTGAGAGGTATATTCTCTATATTCTGAAATTCTACTTCGGGAATAGCTGAATCTGATGTAACGGTTGATAAGAGGTACTAGTAATTGCTGTAAAGAGGGCTGCTATTCAGAGGTTTAATATGAAAATACTGTCACTATCCCATTTTAATAAACTACAAAATAAATTATGCTCTTACCAATACATGTTCGATAGACTTGACTATGAGGACATACCGTTAAGTTAATTATATTTTATATTGCATCAATTTCATAAATCTGAAACACTAACAAAACAATAAATATGAATTCATTTAATCTAAAAAAAACAAAGATGAGGCATTGCAACATAAGTGTATCACAATTAAATCTGTAACCAAGGCCGAGTCAACTATCTTAACACTTAACCCTTCGATCAAGTAACACTTTATGTTCTTCTCAGTACGATGGAAATTGTTAATATTTTAATTTTAATTTTAGCTTGTACAAAACTATTTTTGCCCGTAAAATTCTAACTGATTTAGACTCTTTTTTTAACTAAAAATGAATGATGTAACTTTATCCTAAATGTATTTGATTTTCTATTCAAGAAGATGACATTTATCTTATGGCTTACCTTTTTCTAAAATGTAACCTAGACGCCTGCCACGTTGGGTGGAAATTTTATATTACCCGACTTGTAAATGATATAACATCTATCGTTTACTGTTTAAATAATTTAGAAAGAAATCAAACATTAAAAGTAAATAGATTTGAGATATGACAGTAATATTAAACAAAATTTACCCATTTTTATAAAGATTTCATTTTTTTAAACAAATGTGACCGGTTTGACATTCCGCTCTTTCTTTGACAGTTAAATGTTTGATAGATTTGAGTACGATATGAAATTCACCTGGCAACACTAGTCTGTGGTTCTACGGCCCAGTGTTTTCAAGTGTTTGCCAATAAGTCTACTCCAAGGTGTTAATTGTTCATTATTTTATATCTTTGTTTGTTTTAAAAAGAATATGTTCTAAATTTAACGTGTTAAAAGTGCATATACGTTAATCTTTTTCTAGAGCACTTAAAATATCTTCTTCTCTAGAACACATATCTTGTAGTGTTAAATACATGGAAGAAAATGCATGCTCAGCCAAATATCGCACAGAAGCATACTTTTTGTTTGGCTTTTAAAACATATGTATTTTGTATTGTTTTATATCAATTAGATTTAAATTATATTCAATGCACATACATTGTACATAAATTTCATGAATCAATATGTGAGCCGCGTCACGACAAAACCAACATAGGGCGTTTGCGACCAGCATGGATCGCGACCAGCCTGCGCATCCGCGCAGTCTGATCAGGATCCATGCTGTTCGCTGTCAGTTTCTTCACTTGTAACAGAGCTGGTAAACGAACAGCATGGATCCTGATTAGACTGCGCGGATGCGCAGGCTGGTCTGGATCCATGCTGGTCGCAAACGCACTATGTTGGTTTTGTCGTGACGCGGCTCATATACTTCCATCGTTAAAATCTGCTCCTTTTGGAATCCAAGATTTTTTTGGTGTTGCTCTCGGCTAATAGTGGTTATATTTGATATGAAGTATTATTTTGGAAAGAATCTCATTATGCCTCAAAAATGCTATTATTTTTATTCCACAAAAACTTTTAAAATTTTATTTTTTAATCTTGATACAGTTTCTAAAAAATACTTCTTTGCCATATACAGATGATCTATCTTTCGCTTCTTTTCCTTTGTTTGCATTTGGTATAATTATCGTGAGTTTGTATATTGTACAGTGCTCAAAATACACTACATGTACTGCTACCTTTAGGACACATTACTGCACATTCAGCGCTATTTTCTTCAGCTGTTAAACATCTAAATCCATTAGTATAACATTATCAAACACATGTTTGACATTTCTCAAGACTCTTATAAATAAGGACTTCTTCTGAGGCATAATGTGCCTTTAATGGTCAGGTGATCGTTCTTTTTTTTTATGTACATCATTATGGCCATGTGGCCCTATCACCCACCAAGTGTTAGCTCATATAAGGACATCACTATAAACTACTAGGTCAATGACAAATATTTCATTTTTTAAACTGATCAAACAGTACAATGATAACTCCTGTTTACTTAAGACAGATAACTGAACGCTCATTGGAGTGACATAACTTAATAATAACTTTTGATGCACCATATCTTCATATCTATTATTATCCCTATCAAATTACACGAAATCCATTAGTTTAAACTCAAACAAACTTCAATGTGAATTTAAATAACTTCAGGGATTTAGATGGTAAGTGAATAATTTCGTTTTTTACCGATTTTAGCTACTGTGTATTTCCTAAGGGCACAGACAAAATACGGAAAATGGTGAAATGTTTGAATATATATGTTCAATACTTTTCAAACAGTTTTAAAATCTGGTTTTAGTATGTTGTTGTATATTTTAACCTTCAAATAGCTAAATCAGTTTCCGGGTAGAGTGCATAAGTCGGAAGGAGAAAATTTACTAAATACTTGTAAATATGTTCATATAACTGCACAAAACACTCGTTATACACAAAATGTCTTGAAAAATATGATGTTTTAAATGAAAGGCGATATTGCGATTTAAGGGGTTTCATCATAGAAGCTCTAAAAGAGAAATTATCCCCTTAACTTAAGTAGCACATATTCACCGTAATCATTCATTTAAATACATGTATATTTCATGTTGTTTAATGCTGCTAAGTGCATTTTCGACATATATACAAAACTGATTTTTTTTTCGAGGAAATGGCTTTATTTCTTTTCCTTAATTAACTTTATTTGGTAAAAACTGTACATTTTTCAGTAGCAAACAATCTAGAGTGATTTACCTATAAAACGTGTAATTTATTAAAGGGGCTCCACTGAGGTTTGAAAGCCTAAAAACAAAACATTTGAATTTCTTACAAAAATGAGCTAGGGCACTATATATGTAAAGATAGATCAGAAAATGCTTTGAAATAAATTGAAAATCGGATCTTTATGCTTTTCTTAGCCCAATTTGAGTGAAAAGCGTTTAAACGCTTTTCATTTTGGGTCATTTTTTACAATTTGAATAATTATTCTGGAAAAACGAATAGGGCGAATGATCTGAAATTTTGCACAAAGATTAGTGGTATAAATTAGCATGGAACCAGACCAGCCTGCGCATCCGCGCAGTCTGATCAGGATCCATGCTGTTCGCTATCAGTTTCTCTACTTGTTATATGGTTTGTAAGCGAACAGCATGGATCCTGATCAGACTGCGCGGATGCGCACGCTGGTCTGGATCCATGCTGGTCGCAAACCCATTATTTCGGTTTTGTCGTGTCGCGGCTCATATATCTTTTTTATCATACCAGATGGATATTCGTAAATCATTTTATTATATACTTATAAATGATATATTGAGAAATATTGATGAAATAAAATGCATATTTTCATTTTCCGTATTTTCACTGTAAAAATTTATTTTTCACTGCAGTGAAACATATTTTCCGTATTTTCACTGATGTCTTGCCGGACTACTTTCTTTTAAATTCTGCCAGTACACAAAATTTAAGGGAAAGTTTTTGAAATTGTATCACAAAAAAAGAGAAAAATGTATATAATAAACAGAAAATTCAAGTTTTTTCTATAAATACATGATTTAATTTCATCTTGTGGCATGAAAATTACCATATTTCACTCGTGGCTACCGCCACTCATGAAATATTCATTTTCATACCACTCGATGAAAATAAATCATGTATTTATACAAAAAACTTGAATATCCTCTATATATTACAAAAAAAGTTGTATTACATTACAAGTTTGTTATTACATATATGACAGATGACTTTTCGACGTACCAAAATGCATCAGTAAATATCTGTGCTCATCACAAACTGATTAAGAAATATGTAGATTTTATTTTTCAATTAAAAAAGTGAATAAAAAATGTTTAATCATAGAAATCAAATTATGAACCTCAAGGCGGCTTGACTACATGTTTAGCACACTGAATAAAAGGCGCTTTTTACCCCAAACATGTTTATCAACGAGTATATTATGTACAATTTTAATTGATTTTAAATAGATTTAGGAAGTCTTATATAATAGCATGTTTAAATGTAATCTAAATGCTTTTTCAGAATTGTTTATGTATGATATTTAAATGAGAGGTAGAAGAAAAAGTAATTTACTTATACCATAAGTACTAGGCTAGGGATTCGGAACAAAATTTGTACTATGAATGTTGTTAAAATATCTGATTCCATCATATTGATGAGGCCAATCTCAAAGCAAGCAAAAATAATTAAAGGCACATTATGCCTGAGAAATGACTACAGTTTTGTTAAGCGAAAATGTGTTTTGTATAGTTTTAAAAACATTTTTAAAGCATTTTAAATGTTCAGAGGCACAGACAGAAAATAGCCTTGACGTACTGTGAAATAATTGGTAACATAATGTAAACAAAGGGTTCGGTTTTTTTTGGGTTTGTATTTTTACTTCCATACAAAATACTAAAATCACTATATCTGTAATAATTGCCAAAAAGCAAGAGAAGCAAATATTTTTGAGAAATGAAAAAATAGCAATTTTAAGTCCTAATGGGCCTTTAAAGAAATGAAACCGTACAAAACGAGCAATGCATCTTAATGCATGACAAATTGTGAAATTTCTATTACATGTATATTTTATATTGATCGGTTTGCATGTACAGCTTTTACTTAAATCAAAATGTAGGGAGACAATAAAAAAAAAGAAAAGAAAAACGGCACCTATAAGGTACCGAAGATATTAAAAGGATTTTGAATCATTTGGTATAGTGAATGTGTTATGTATTATTTTTAAAAACATATTTAAAGTATGTTAAATGTTCTTAACAGGCATAAAAAAGCCTTGAAGTACTATGAAATAATTGGTAAAAAAAATGTAAACAAAGGGTTCGGGGTTTTTTTGTTTTTTTTTGGTTTGTATTATTACTTCCATACAAAATACTAAAATCACTATAACTGTAATAATTGCCAAAAAGCAAGAGAAGAAAATTAATTTTGAGAAATGAAAAAAATAGCAATTTTAAGTCCTGATGGGCCTTTAAATAAATGAAACCGTACAATAAAAAAGCAAAAAGGCAGAAATTATTTTATATTATATTAATCTACCCGAAAGATATCGATGCTATTGCAAGAATTTTGAATCTTGTGGTATTGTGTAATTCTTTTTTAGTATATACACGACATATAGTTATATTTTCCTGGTCGGAAACGTCTGACTCAAGAAGCAAATGTGCATTAGTTCGCATGATGGTTGACAGTATGTGTCCATTAACGTAATTAACGAACAGAACAGAACAGATTTATACACATAGAGTTGAATCCATATACATTTTGTATATGAAGTTCTGCAGTTTTATTACAATGTGCATGGAACACTGATGCACAAATTGATTTATTTTAGTTGACATCATCGCCAAATCAATAACACGATTTCATTAGAATATACATTTTGTAAAGGTGACAACGTACAAGAATAAGATGGTATTTTCGTGAAAAAATAATAGCAATCGTTTCTTTCAGATTTGTATTAAGTTGTCTTTATAATTATAATTAAGTTTAATCATAACTTAAAAACTAATCGCACAGATCTGTATTGCGTTATTTTGATTAAATCACTGTCATCATTACTTTTGAAATTATCGCGTACATTTCAAAAAAGAATATCTTGATTAAATTAGGTATGGGAGATTTATTTTGTCATAATAAACATTTATATAAATGTATGGTATTGTGCATTCGAAAAAGAAAACGATTTTATCAAAGTTTATGGGACATTTAATGGTTAATGAGTATCATTTCTTTTTTCATTTTAAGCTACTGAAAAAAGAGACAAGATTTTACCAATACTTCTTTATGTGTACGATATCCATCTTCAAAAAGACCACGTGACTAGTCGATGTTCGATTTCCATCTTTAAAAAAAGACCTGTGAAAAGATAATTTTCCTCACGTGTATTCATAAAAGGCATTGTGATTTTTTTTAATATAAACCATCTAAATATCAAGAAGCCATTGACCTTTGCTTACTTTTTAATTTCCTGCGTTTTAATGTATTACACAACAATGGTTTGTTCAAATTAACCAAGTCCATTTTGATGTTAAAATTTCAATCAAAATTCTTTCGCATTCATTTCAATTCAGGCAATATGTGTGTGGCGGCTACTATTTCAATTTGACGATCTTATAAACGGAATTAAACTGAAATAGTACTCTCCTGTTAACGATATAATTTCCAAATAATAATTTGACACTCATAATTTTGTAATTTATTGTACATTAATAAATTCATACTTTAATTTGAAAACTTTAAGCCGCTTATAATCACAAAAATATAATGATGCTGACACGCAATATCAAGTGTCTATGATTCCCGAGAGAACTTTAGTACATATAGCTTTAATAAATGATAGTAAAATTAATTTAACTTCTTTTTTTGTTTACAATTTGTACAATTTTTGTGGAAATAAATTATAATACTGTAGATTTTTTTCTTTAAATTTGATTAGAAATATAGGTGTAATTAATTAAGTTTTCCTTTTTTCTATTCTATGTTCAATGTTGCATTTTAAAATATACTTTGCACATCGATCTTGAATAACAGATTCTATCTTTCCACGTGTTATTTTCCAAATATAAGATTAAAGTATGTTTTTGTTTATTACTTTATTTCTGTGTTGCTTTGAGCGTGCTTTATGTGTGCATAGTCCAACATGAATGCAGAAACAAGTTCAATTAGTAATAAATGTGTTCGTACACCACGCGAGTCTCGTGCAGCAAAATCGCTAATCACGTGTCGATGGATGAATATGAAACTCTTGTGATGTCACATAATCTAAAGCTAAAACTGAAATCTAATATAAATTCTTTTATCCACGAACAATATTAACGTACAGAAAAAGTAAAATACATTTTTTCGACAAATAGTGTTGGATTTCAACTGCAGTAAAACGGCTTATTTGCATATTTTAAGCGAATGCCCGTCGTGTTAAAATAATTTTACAGAGACACAAAATAATAAATTCTGAACTTATTTTATTGATAATTAAAATAAAGGCGCGGGCTGTCAAAATAAAATAGACCTTATTACGAAACCTGAATTATACTATTTGGCTTAACTTTAATTAGATTAATCACTATTGAAATGACATGTGAAAATCGTGCACAAAAGGTTTGATTGACTTATAGAGAATTAAGTCTACGTTTGTTTAAGATTGGATCAAGCTTTCAGAAGACAGTTGTTATATACA